ACCATCACTCACAAATGGGTCCCAAATCTCTGACTTAGAAATCTCTGTTTACCAGTTTCTATTTCCTGAGCAGGAGATACTGGGGGCCCAGCTCAGCAAAGCCAGAGGTCACACTGGATGGTGACATTTTCAGAGTCAAGGTACTTATCCTTATCCACAAACAGCTGTAGCAAGCTTTCTTGTTGGACTATCTTTAGACCACCAGCCCCCAAATAATGACATGGAGACTTTAAATTAATTATCAAAGTTTGGCTTTTGCCTGGGCTTGCTCTCAGCTAGCTCTTATAACTTAATTAACCCATATTTCTTAAATCTATGTTCTTCCACGTGGCTTAGTTACCTCTTCTTAGTAGGACACAGAATCATATGCCTAAATTCCTCCTCCAGATTCATCTCCCGGGAAATTCCGCCTCTCCTCTCCTGCTGAGCTATTACACAGATGTAATGAAAACAGCAACAACAGTTAAGATGAATTTTCATTCTCCAGGGCTCTGGTCATTCCTTGGCAGCTTATAACTCATGTCCAGCTTTTCCATGTGTATTTGAAACCTTTCTTTTGTATGAGCAGAGGTAAGTGGCAAACATTATGAAGTCTTCGCTCCTGAAGTTCTAGGCCTCAAATAAATGTTTACTTATCCACCACTCTAAGGCTTGAAATACACAATTAAACACATTCATTGGGAACATACTTTTTTCTGAATTAACTCAATAAGTGTTCACATAACTGAATTAACTCAATAAGTGTTCACCCGCATAAGGCTGTCTGGGGATAACGGGCAACATTCTTGAAGTATCACTTCATTTATAAATAAAACAATGACTTGCATCTGCATTTTTAGCTAGCTCTAGCTAGTGGGTCATGTTGACCCTTACAAACTATTAGATAATTGCCTGTGGACAAGAGACAATTTTTCTCCAAATTATAAAGTAATGCATTATGTAATGTCTATTTATACAGGATTTATAATTCTATACTACTAGAGTTCATTTATTTTTATAATAATGTTATGATTTGCCATTTTAATAAAAAAAGATCTACTTAATGACTGCTACACTAGAAAAAATAAGGCTTATAGAAGAATTAATTTTTAATCATTTAGGAGTAGTCACCTAAACATCATAAATTAACATAAAATTGTTTCTGCTAGATAAGTACTTTGATGATTATAATATTTAGCTTCCAAATGATTCTATAATTATATAGTTGAATATATTCCTTAAAAACTTACTTCATTGTATTTAATACGGAGCTGAATTATAGCCACTGGTTAACTACTTGATAACAAATTATTCATTCCTTAAACTATTTGCTATTTCCCATAACTTTAACAAATTATTCATTCCTTAAACTATTTGCTATTTCCCATAACTTCGTATTTAACAGGAGGACACCAGAGCAGAGACAAGGCTCTAATGAACTATGGTGCTGAGAAAACAACCTGTAATTTACAGGATATGCTGCTGAGTCTCAAAGAGAAAGCCCTCGCACACAGCATTCTCAGATACCCTGGGTCAGGTAAAGGTGAAACAAAACCATTAATGAGTTGATGCTGAGCCAGATGGATAAAACCTAGTAGTACCAGCATTTTAAGTCACTGAAGGGGAAGGGCAGAGTTGAACAGGCCAGGCACAGAAGAGAACTAGACTGGGTCATCCAATGACCCTCCAAATCTGGCAGAGGATGCGAGCTTGCCTAAGAGCCAAGGTACGGAGACAGGAGCGGGCTCTCTCCTTCTTCTATGTGGGTCCTGAGACTCAAACTCAGGTCCCCAGGCTTGGCTGTAGATATCTTTACCCACTGAGTCATCTCAAAGGCCAACTCTAAGACTTTCTCACTGTTTGCTTCTTCACAACAGGGACACCGTCCACCTCTATGCATCTCCGGCATCATCTACAGCAACATCCAGACCAGGCAGAGCATCAGGAATAGTGATGTGAGTTCTTGATGCATCGCTGACATCAAAATAATTGACACTGGGGATATAGCAGTAGCAAACTAAAGGCAGACGTTGTGGTTCTGTTTAAAACACAGGTAAACTATACATGCACTTCAAATGTTAACAGCTCATCGTTGCCGCAGACAGGAGCATGCCAACTTACAGCAATGTTTGGTGGTGGCTAGATCAGAATAAAGACCTTTTTCCCCCAACATTTAATCTCTCACAAATGCACTAAGAGAAAAACATTAAAGGGCTTATTCGTTGGCCCCAAACTTAATTCAGTAGTCACTATCTGAGATAAAGCTGGTCCACTAATACTTGCCATGTATCTTACGCCCAGACCATATATTTGAGCCTGCTTGAAGGGGAGCAGGGCATTACAAACCTCTTCTTATGATTTGCCAGTTGGACCAGTAGTATTTGTTACCTGATATTCTAGAGACACTGGTGAACATCGATCTGAGCTATCACAATACAATACAGTGCTAACGACCATGTGCGTAGCTCCCAGAAACAAAGAGGAACATTGCTTGGAAGTCAGTGAGTGGGCCTCCTCCCCAAAATATCAGTGAGTAAGTGTCAGCCTCCCTCAAGGGAAAGGTGAACAAAGCCACCACGCGGTTACTTCCTCTTCCAAGGAAGAACCAGGGTAACTTTAACAAGTTGCTGATTCTGCTTGCAGATCAGGTTCCAGAGCTTCCCACAAATGACTGCATTTGATTTCCGGAGAAGTTACAACATTAGTGTTATTAGCATGTTTTGCAGGCAGGAAAGACAGAGAGACCCAGCTTAGCTTTCTTACGACTTGCCAAGTCTGATCCTAAACTCATCTGAACCAAGCCAAGCTCTGCACCGCATGCTCAGCTACTTTACAAATGTTTCCTGGGTGGGTCCCTGAGACAATCAGTCACTTAGGCCAGTGTTAATGGAAGCCTCACATTTCTACTATGCTAGGAATGGCCACACACTGTGGATTTACCAGGAGACTAAATCCCCATGAAACCTGCTGGGGAATCATATAGTGCCGCCAGAAATCCAAGTCACTCAGGCCTCTATCCACGTGTGTGCTGAAAGGAGTTTAAAATTAGAATAATCTCCGTGATGTTTTTCAGTTCAGAAATTCTAAGTTTTATTCTTGGGGGAAAATTGTAACTAATAATAGGTATGTTTCCTTAAAGCACATGAAAAGGTTAAGCTATCCATGGACGGACAGCATCCCCCTCCTATGTGCCCCACCCCTAACGACCATATTGATGTCTACTGAATGAAAAAGATATATCCGTGAAGGTTCTGTGTCTGCTGTCAAGCCTGAGAACTTGAGCTGAGTCTGCAGGACCCACAGAGTACAAGGAGAGAGCCAACCCCTCCAAGTTGTCCTCCCAACTCCTTTACCACCGCATCATAGCCCATCCTGACACAGACCTGTAACACAGCCATTTCAGCTTTTCTGTCTCAGTAGTTACTCCTCCTCCCCACTTAATAAAGGATCTCTCAGATCCTTTAATCCCAGCACGAGGGAGGCAGAGGCAGGCAGATCTTTGTGAGTTGGAGACCAGCCTGGTCTACAAGAGCTAGTTCCAGAACATCCTCCAAATAGTTCCAGGACAGGCTCCAAAGTAATACAGAGAAACCATATCTCAGAAAAAAAAAACAAACAAACAAATTACCTCTCTGTGAAAACAGGTGCTTGGGTGTGTCTTGTGCCTAATCCCGGGTCTTCACTGAAATGCACTGAAGGGAACCCCCTTCAGTGAACACACGTTCTTCAAGCTTGTTAATCTTCAGAAAAGAACCAGTTAGAAGCTCAGTGTGATGACACTTGGTGCCTAGCAGACTTTCCCAAGAAGAAAGAGCATAAGAAAGCAAGTATTTATTAGAATGCTTGCTATCTGTGGATGAAAACACCCTTTGGTGGAGGCATTCTGGAAAACTGCGTGCATACTCATGGTGAAACAGCAGTTTCATCCTTAGCTACTCATGGAATACATTGAGTGGTGTACAGCTAAATGGCATTGAAGGTAAATATACTTCAACTAAATGCAAAATACACATATGTGCACAGATGTTTATGAAGAAATATGAGACTGAGGTAACTTACTGTGTCTGTCTTAGTTAGGGCTTCTTCTGCTGTGGTAGAACACCATGATCAAATGCCACTTGGGAAAGGAAGGCTTTGTTTCATCATCAGGACAGGTGCTTGAGGCAGGGACCTCGAGGCAGGAATTGATACAGAGGAGGAATGTTGCTCACTTGCTTGCTCTCCTGGCTTTCTCAGTTTCCTTTCTTGTATATCTAAGAACCATCAGTCCAGGGAGGCACGACCCCACACAATGTACCGAGACCTGCTGCCTCAATCATCAATTGAGAAAATACCCACAGACTTGCCTAGAGGCCAGTCTCACAGAAGATAAGTCTAATGTGTCAATTCAACAACAAACAAACAGACAGACAGACCAGGGTGTATATCTGATTTCATTTCTGTAATGTCGAGGAACACACAAAGCCAATTTGCTTTAAAGGGAGACTAGAAGTCCTTGTTAGTGTGGCATATGACCAGAAGGGGGCAGCAAAGAATCTCTGCAGCGATCTAAGGTAAGGTTCTGTTTCTCAGAACGTTCCTTAAATTCAGATCCTGTCCTGCAGGTTCAGATCTGCCAGGTTCTGGGCTCATGAGACACAGTGCCATGGTGTTTGGTGACAATTCAGGAGGAATGTGGTTGGCACAGTCAGAGCCGCATTCTTTGCAAGGTAGAAAATAAAGGAAAAATCAAATTACTTACACATATGTTAGACAATAAATTTATGTTCTGAGTATGTCATATTCGTGTGACGTACTGAACAGAATAACAACACAAAACCTCAGTATTTGATAGTTTGTATTTAATCATTATAGTGAGTTGAGACAAATAAACAATTGAAGTATGATGGCTAGCCAATAATTGTTGCCATAGCTTCAAAAATAAAAAATAAAATAAAATTAAAAAAAAAAAGTCTAAGTCCTTCTGGCCCAGAAACTTTTTTAACAGGGCCAGTACAGCCGCCGCCTGGAGATTCTACACATTAACCAAAAGGCCTAAAAGGCTCCTTAATTTTAACATGTTTGGAAGGTTTCCTGTGGAACCGTGTCCACTTCTCTTTTTCCTCTTCTAATCGTGTGATCTCCAGAGACAGTTTGTACAACTCCAGAGCCCTTTTCACATCTTCTGGGTTTGAGAGACAGTGGAAGAGTTTTCTGCCTTCGTTCACTTGTTTGCAGTCTTCAAGGACTCCCTACAAGTAATTTAAAGAGGTAAATGGGAGGGAGGGTGCAAGCTGATATAATTGATGGGCATTAAAAAAAAAAAATCTGGAAGTACTTTGCATCCCTAGCAGGTGTTCATATGCAGGCCACACCATGAGGAAGAGGTAGGTGTGTGTGTGTGTGTGTGTGTGTGTGTGTGTGTGTGTGTGTGTGTGTGTTTTCAGACAGGATTTTGCAGCCCCAGACTTGAGCTTAGGACCCTCCTAATGCCCACCTCCCTGTTGCTAGGATTATAGGTATATGCCACGGCATCTGGCTGGTGGGGAGCAGAAAAGTATAGTTGAAGGAAAGACAGAGATAGAAGGATCCAGAGCAGCCCCATAAGGATAGGTGAGGGGGAGTCCTGCACATGCTCAGACACAGAGCAAAAGTATACAGACCATAGACAAGGAACGCCATGGTCAGGGTACTAGGTCTAGGAAGCCTTCAATTCTAAAGTTCTGGACCCAGCCAGAGAGAGAGAAAAAAAAGAAACAAAAACAAAACACAAAACCTACTCCTTCGAGCACAATGCTCCAAGGTTATACAAGCAAACCTGGTAACCTGGGCATCTGACAGGTGACATTATCATAGTGTAGGACAGAGCCTTGGGAAGAGACTGCTGTATTTAAGGATGACATCACAGAAGCTCCCAAAATCGTGCCACTCACCAACTTACAGCTGGGTATATCAGGATACCATGTTTTGTTTTCCGAACAAATGATGTTTGGGGAGCCAACTAAGTCATATCCGAGATCACACAGAACGGTGATATTCTCCATTTCAGCATAGTGATTTTTCTCCACTGACAGGTTTCCATGTATGATCACTGGTTTGGGGCACATGCCTTTAACAGACAAGTACCTTAAACTCTCTTCTTCAAAGAGGGACCAGAATTGAATTAGACAATAAAAATGATGAGAAAGTTTGTACATACTTGCATTCAGGCTCTGCAAAATTTACTGGCATCAATAATAATTACAAGAGTCCTAATGGCTACTGAGAAAAGTACTAAGTATATCTACTTGCCAAATTTTTGTTGCCTTGTTCATTTTTTCATTGTACACCTATGAATTGGTTTCTTTTTTTTTTTTTAACCATTTTACCAACAATGAAACAGAGACAGTTGATAGCTTAAGTCTCGTATAGCTTTCAAGCATTGGAATCCATGTTTGCGTTTCTCCTCCACAGCCTCCATCCTGTGCATGATGCTAAGGGTGCACTTTACACTGTCCTCACCTTTGTAATGTTACAGGGCTCAACAGAAACGGTGGCTTTTGGTTGTTAGCAAAATAATGGAGGAACTTAAGGACACTGAAGATGCAGTCAGTCTTACCTCATCGTCATTCTACATCAGTTTATCAACCAGGAGCATCATTGGTTCATAGACACAGAAAGGCAATGGAAAAAAGATGGCGACAATCACAAGCTTTAAGTGGAGCTGGGCGGTGGTGGTGCACGCCTTTGATCCCAGCACTCGGGAGGTAGAGGCAGAGGGATCTCTGTGAGTTCGAGGCCAGCCTGGTCTACAAGTGAAAGTTCCAGGACAGGCTCCAAAGCCACAGAGAAACCCTGTCTCGAAAAACCAAAAGAGAGAGAGAGAGAGAGAGAGAGAGAGAGAGAGAGAGAGAGAGGAAAATATTTAAGTGGAAATTTGCAACACTTTGTGAACTAGGTATTAACCCTTGAGATTCCTTTCTTGGACACTTGGAAAGAAATAAAGAAATGAAAGTTGTTGTGGAAAGTTTACTAGAGGCACAAAGAGATTCTTATATCGAAGTTATCAAGTCTAGCCTGTAAGTATTCTAGAAAGACATAGAACAACTAAATAGTAACAGCTGCTTCCGGCAACACTCCTATCTGTGCTCTTGGGGCCCAGGAAGGGAAACCAGGGTTCACTTTTAATGTTCTTTTTGCCATTTCTTCAAGTTTACTCCTCATATCTTAAATGTTATAAAACAAATAGACAAACAGTAAAATTTGGGTAGGCTTTGATCAACAGGAAATATTGCTGCCATTATTTTGTAACTCTGCCTTCCACACATTGCTAGTGGACCTGGTATTACATTGAGAAGGCAAAGGTACCCAGTAAAAAAACATGCAAGACACACAGCAAGTCCAACTAAAACATGCCCACCAACACATTCACACATGCATGCTTCAAAGTAAGGAGGTGGCTGTCTATTTTCCGTTCCTATAACAGAACACTGTACTCTGGGTAATCTACAGAGAAGGAGGGTGTTGTTTGAATTCTAATTCATGCAAATCTAAAGGACTTGGATTTGGTTCCTTCAAGCTTCAGGGGTGAAGCACCCAGAGGGGCCAGAGCTCACACACATGTAGGACATCCTACACATGCTGGCAGAGCCAATCTATTCCTAGGACTAGCACATGAGCTATTCAAAGGGCTCAGGCACCTCCTACTTTGTAGTGCTGCCGAGCCAGGGCTTAAGTTTCAAGGACAAAGACTTTAGTACAGGAGATATACGTGAACGATACCCTTCCACCTCTGGACGTTAAGTTCACACCTCTCACCCTGAAGAATGAACTTATCTCACACCGACAACTACAGAGTCCTACTTGTCCCGACTTTAAAATACGAAGTCCAGAGTCTCCTCTGAGACTCAAGGCATCACACAGCCTGAGGCAAATCCCTCCGCCTGGGAGCCAGCTTGTGAAATCAATTTCCCTACTTCAAACACGCTGTGTAGGACACCAGCAGAGTGAAGACATTCTCAACCAAAGGAGAGGAAGAGGTGTGAAAAGCGGAGACATGGAGCCAAAGGCAAACCAAACTTCGGTACGGGAAATGCATTGATCTATTTTTCCTCTCTCTCTCCAATGATCATACAAAGGAAAAGATTTCCTCCTCACGGAGTTTTCATACAGGTTTGGTTGATCCTCCCCTGTCCACACTCCTCCATCCACGTGGACCCTTCACTTTTCATCCTTACGCCTTTGATTTTCATACCACACGCGCCCTATGACCTTCCCTACCCCCTTCCTTAAAGCACATTCTCTCCTCTACTGGGCACCTTACCAGTTTCCTGGCCTCTACCCAGACTCGCTCCCACATAAACATACAAAAGTACAAGTTAAAGCGAGAACACGCATGTGTGCGAGAACACGCATGTGCGAGAACACACATGTGAGAGAGCACACATGGAATTTGTTTCTCTGAGTCTGTTGTTAGCTGATAGCACTCTTTCTAGTTCTGGCCATACACGTTACGGGCAGTTTTCCCGCCAGCCTGGTTCCACAGCCACCCCAGCCCCAAATAACACACAGAGACGCTGTATCAGATATAAAGCTGTTGGCCTGTTACTGGCATTTCTTATTGGCTAGCTCTGTCTCAAATATTAACTCATTTCTATCAATCTAAGTGTTTCCATGTGGTCTTATCTTACTGGAGAGAGGGTCCAGACCTCTGCTCTCTTGGTCCTACATGTTGACTCTCCTTCTACCTCTCCCTAAATCCTCCTAGTCTCCTAGTCCCAACTATATTGCTTTCCTATTGGCCAACAGTGCTTTATTCATTAACCAATAAGAGAAACATATTTACATAATGACATCTCTCATCAATACACCTACAAATTTCATCCTTCTTTATGGCCAGATAAAATTTCTTTGTGTATATGTACCACATTTTACTGCCCACCCACCTGTTGGTGACCATCTAGGCTGATTCTGTTTCTTTGCGAATCAACTAATGTGGACGTGAATCATCTCTGTGGTAAGACATGGACTCCTTCCCACGCGTGCCCGGAAGTGCTTTTTTCATTTTTGGGAACCTCCACACTGCCATGGTGATTGCACTAGTTTATACTCCCACTAATAGTAAACGGGGTTTCCTCTCCAGCAACCCCATTACCATTTGTTTACATGTTTTGATGGTGACAGCCACACTGATGAGTGAGATCAAATCTCAAAACTCTCTTTAATTTGTATTTCCCTGTCGGTTAAGGATGTTGAGCACTTTTTGAAATATACGGCATTTGTATTTTTTTCTTTTGAGAGGTGACTGTTCAGTTCACTGGGCCACATGTTGAATGGGGGTTTGTTTAATCTTTACAGTTTTAAATACTCTCTAAATTAACCCTTTATCTATCTGAAGTGTAGCTGAAAAGGCTTTCCTACTATTTTCTTGGCTGTCTGTTTGTTCTACTGATGGTTTCTTTTGCTGAGCAGAAGCCTTTTATCTTCATGTAACCCCATTTGTCAACCACCATGGCTATTTTCCTGAAGAATTCCAGTGTCTATATTGTAAAATGTTTCACCGTGGTTTCTATAGTTTTTTAAACATTTCTGGTGTTAAATCGAGATGTTTGATCCACATTGGATCAGGGTGGAACACATGGGTTTAATTTTATTCTTCTATAGGTGCTTGTCCAGTTTTGCCAGCTAACACCATTTCTTGAATGAAAACTTTCCTTGATAAATTTAACTCTTCTGTCAAAAATTAGGTATGCATATTTGGATGAGTTTATATATAAAGCATATGGGAGAGCATATCTGTGTGCATTTATTTCTGGGACCCTTGGTCTATATGTCATTTTTGTACTGGCACCATGCTATATTTGTCATTAAGGCTCCGTAGCACAGTTTGAGGTCAGGTATTATACCTCTAACTGCGTTCTGTCTGGTTAGGACCACTTTGACTGCCTGTAGGATTTCTGTATGTGTTTCCATATGAATTTTAGATTTTTTTTTACAGTTCTGTGAAGGATGTCATTGAAATTTTGATGGAGAGTACATAGAATCTAGGAAGTTCTTTGGAGAAGATAGCTATTTTCATAATGTTAATTCTTCCAGTCCAGGAGAGCAAAGTTTTCCCCCCCATATCTAATGTTGTCTTCAGTTTCTTTTTTTTTTTTTCAGTGTTTTAAGGTTTTTCGTCTTCTTCATTAGGTTTATTCCTATGTGTTTTACATTTTATTTTTTAATTAGTTAATTTTATTTCGTGTGTGAGTGTTTTCCCTGCATGTATGTATGTGTGTGAACCACATGTTTTCCCTGATACCTGGATGTCAAAAGAGGATATCTTGTGTCTCCTTAAACCCCAAAATTAATGAAAACAGGAAACATACACACAGGAACATATATACATACAACACACACTCATTTAACAGAATGGAGATGCTACTCCTAGGATGTTGATTAGTATATCCATGTAGCTATGTGACTAATAGGTGGAAAACACAGGTCCAATATGTTTCATGCCATTCAAAATTAATCTTACCAAATCACTTACATAATATTTGCACGATTTACTTTTCTACTTGTATCTTTAGATAGTAGACTAGGTATCCTACTTTTCAAAGCCAGAAACAAAGCAACCTAACCAGTGAACTGTTGCTGGAGTTTCTTGTCCAGCCCCAAATAAACACACAAAAACTTATATTATTAAACCATTGGCTGATGGGTAGAGCTTCTTATTGGCTAGCTGTGTCTTAATTATTAACTCATTTCTATAAATCTATGTATTTCTACATGGTCTTGGCTTACCTGGAAAATGCCTGGACCTGTTATTCCTTTGGTGGCTACATGGTGCCTTCTCAAAGTCTCTCTCTGCCTGCCTGCCTTTCCCAGAATTCTCCTTGTCTCCTAATCCCAGCTATCTTCCTGCCTCTATTGGCCAAATAGTGTTTTATTCATCAACCAATAAGAGAAACATATATACAGAAGGACATCCCCCATCAGTGGACACTGAAGATGTCTACTGATATTTAAGCTATAGCTCTCAGAAAATTACTCTAGGCTTCTTCACCTCCTGGTACAGCTTGGATAAGGGGACATTTTACCATACCGTGTATCAATAAGCTGTGGTCATGATGAAAAGTCAGGATGTGTTGCATATACTGGTTCAGGAAATAGTGTGTCTGGAGCTCAAGATAAACATTAGAGTATCTCCTGTATTCCACCCATGGGGGTTTATACTGGAGCAGGCAATTATGAGACATGAAGAAATTATGTTCACCAGGAATAACAGCTAGAGATATTATATCTGTCAAAAAGCCCAAGCCTACCAGCATGCTTGATTGAAGGAAACATAATGGGCAGTAGTGAGAGATTAGTCATATCAATTACAACCCCCAGAGCAGAGATAATTTACACTTAATTCTCCTTTACAGTGATTTCTTAAGGTTATGGCTGGATAGTATTTTTCCCATGATTCTTTCTCACATCCCATCCCTACTTCCTATGATGTTCTAAAATATTAGCTACTAGATCCCAGGTTATCTTCTTAAACTTTGCTTTTATATTAACCCAACTACGGCCTGCAATAGACCCTGCCATGAGGTGAGGAATCATACATAGTAAGATAGTCACATTACTCTACATGATATTTCAGTGTCTTACCATTATCAGATAGATATTTATTGTCCTTCGTGCCTGTTTCCATTAAGTTTGAAGCGGTAACAGCAGGATGGTTTTGCAGGTCTGAGCCAACAAGAAAATGAAAAAGTTGATGTCAATCTTCTTCATAACAGTCTCCCATTTTTTTTTTTTTTTAGTAATTATATAAGCCACTATTTCCCTGTGATGTACAAATATAGACATTGGCTATAATGTTAGCCGACAATACATGCAGGAACATGGGCTGGAGAGATGGCTCAGAGGTTAAGAGCACTGACTGTTCTTCCAGAGGTCCTGAGTTCAATTCCCAGCAACCACATGGTGGCTCACAGCCATCTGTAATGAGATCTGGCGCCCTCTTCTGGCTTCAGGTGTACATGCAGACAGAATAGTGAATACATTTTATATATATATATATATGTGTGTGTGTGTGTGTGTGTGTGTGTGTGTGTGTTATTAACATTAACAAACTGTGACATTGAAGGATTTTATTCAATGGACTATGCACTCTGACAAAAGCTTTTGAAAGCCCTCTGTCAGTGTATCCATAACTCTATCAATAGCCTTGATGGAGCTACAGTAAATATCTGTGATTTTTTTATTGCATAATACTTATTGAAAGGGCAATCTCAAACTCACTTATTTTCAAGAAGATTATTCTTACAGCTGCATAAGATCTGGGAAATGATGATGACAAGTTCCCTTAGTTTTCTTACCCATCTGACAGGCTGGTATTGCAGGGTCCCACTTTCCATCTGCCTGACATGAACTCCTTCCATCAGTAGACATAGGGTAAGAACCTTCACCACAAATATAGAAAACATAGTCTCCGTAGGCATAGACGCATATACCAGTGAAATCTCTCCTTTCACTTACAATTTTGATTTTATCCATATTTGGTGTTGGGCAACAAACCCCTGGGAGATAAAAAGAGAAATGCACATGCTTCATCCGATGAGAAAGACACCTTTGAGACTCTCACTATCTTATGAAAGACATTAATAATCAAACGCATGGTAATGGGATAGAATTTTGCTTTCAGGAGAGGGGAAGAATTACTTAATAGATAGAAGGTTTCATTTGAATTTTTTTTAGAAATGCTCAATACAAAACAATACTACAACACAGTTAACAATTACAACACTACACACTAATCAATAGAGAATATTTATATATTTATAACCATGATTCAGACAAGAAAAAAAAAGGCTATATCAAGATGGCCGAATAAGTATATATTTGGTCATTTCCCCATTAAAATGTATTGTTAGTTACTTGTCTATTTCTATGATGAGATACCATGATGAAGGCAACTTAAAAAAAAAAAAAGACAGTTAAATTGAACTTATGGCTCCTTGGGGTTAGAGATTATGACGGCAGAGGGACAGCATGGGGACAGGTGATTGGAGTAGCATTTGAGAGTTCATGCTTGGATTCTTAAGCAGGAGGCAGAGAGCATTCTGGGAATGGTGTGAGTCTTTTGAAACCTCAACGTCTTCCCCCAGGGATGCACCTCCTCCAAGAAAGCCACACCTCCTAATTGTTCCCAAACAGTTTCATCAACTAGGGACAAAGTACTTAAGCATATATACCTTTGGGGACTATTGTTCAAACCACCACATATATAGCTGGAACCACTAGGCATGCAGAAAAAGTACCTTCTCAAAAGTTAGGGGAATCTGGCAGGAGGGCACTGTAAAAAGTTAGGGCCTAGCAAAAAGAAAAGTTGCAATAAGAAGGAAAAGAAGAAAGAGTTGCATGTATCATAGCCACTCACTCCCAACCCATTCCTGTCCTCAACTCTAAGCACTGCAATAGGTACAGAGATAGCTTTCCCTAGAAGGAAGAGAAGGAACTGGCCATGCGGCCTACAATCAATGCCAGCTTTGCCTCAGTGACCACCACTAAACAGCTCCATGGCTGCTGTAGAACAATCCTCTTGTACACTGTAAAGGTTGTATTCACTTGAGTTGGTTTAATAAAACACTGACTGGCCTGTAACCAAGAAGGAACTATGGGCTGGGCAACCAAACTAAGGATGATAGGAAGGAGAAGGGTGGAGTCAGGAGTCACCAGTCAGTCCCAGAGGAAGCAGGAGATGAATGTGCTATGCTAATCAAACATGGCTGAACGTAAATAAGGAATATGGGCTAACTTAAAATGTAAGAGCTAGTTAGTAATAAGCCTGAGCTATTGGCTGAGCATTTATAATTTATATTAAGCCTCTGTGTGGTAATTTGGAAAGCACCTGACAGGTGTCTTGGAACAGGCCCCCAGGATGGGAAAACTATGCCTAACATGGCCCCTACTTCAAGGTCAGTGTCTGTGAACAGACTCTCCATAGAGGAAAAAAAAATATGAAAACTCTGAAGAACAAACTCATGCATAGGTATTTTCTTTCTGTTAAAATTGATATGCTTGGGTTCCAGAGAGAAAGCTCAGTGACTAAAGGCTCTTGACGTACAAACCCAGAAATCTGAAATTAACCCCTGGAACCCAAGGAAGTCATTTTTTTTCCCCTTCCATCTTTGCGTGGTTCTGGGGGTTCAATGAAGATCACAGCACACACACGGGAAAAGCACTGAAAAACAAGGGAAAGAAGAATGTAGCGGGCTGTCAGGGAAAGTCCTTTGAAATAAACATCGGAGTATACAGCAGTAAAATCCATGACAGAAATAAACCAAGATGGAACAAAATCTATTATAGAGCCAAGAAAAACCATCTCTACAAGACAGACTTGTACATCCATGGAACATATCTCCAAATATTAGCGTGAATGCATACCAGGAGACAAAGAGCATTTTACCATCAGTAGACCCTCACTAAAGGAGACTAGAGTATCCACTGGGGAAAGAAGCACTGTAGCTAGCGTTAAGTCTAAAGAATCAGAAGCGAGTTTGCGAGCAGTATGGAGTGATACAGCCGAGTGGTTAGAGAGATACAGAAGATGCAGCTGTAGAGAAGATGTCTACGTAGGAGAGATGTGTGCGAAGAAAGAAGTCTGTGGCTGTGTGGAGAATGTAACTGGGTGTAGAGATGTGTGTCTGTGCAGAAGATGGATGTAGCTGGGGAGAGAGATGGAGCCGTCTAGGGTTGAGTAGCTAAGCAGGAGAAAGGTTTCTATATGTAAAGAGAGATGTGCAACTATGTAAAGTGATGCAACTGTGTAGAGAGATTGTCAAGAAAGGGAGATGATTCAAGATGAGGTAGAAGAGAAGGTCAGCATCAGGGAAGCATGAGCTTGTTCCTTTCTTCTTAGGTTACCATCAGAAAGTGTTTGCCTTTGTTGCGTACCCTGGAGGCCTTGGAGCAGGTTCTCCAAAAGTCCACAAGTATAGAGAAGAAATATTTTCTAAGTTACTCACTGGTCTGAGAAGGCATTCTTTTTGCTACCCTGGGTCTAGTCCTGGGAGCTGGCCTCCCAGGTTACAACACACGCACATGCGCGCGTGCGTGCGCGCGCACACACACACACACACACGGGGGGGGGGGGGGATCGGAGATAATTGACAACTATAGACCGCTTAAACAACAATCACAAAACAATGTTTTCAAAATGTGCACTGGATTTTTACAAAAACTAATCATATCCTATGTTATGAAAAAACAGGCCCTGAGAAATTTCAAAGATTTTGCTCAATACACTCAACAGGTAACTTAAAAGACATGTGTAATCAATAGCAAGTTGGAGTTTTCTTACGTTCACAGCCTTTGGAAGACGACCAGGTCAGATTCTCTTGACATATCACAATCTGAGGATCATTGGGCAGCGCTCGGTAGCCAGGCTTGCACTGGTATTTCAGTTTGGTCCCAACTTCAAATATTTCAAAATTTCTTAAGGGAAACTTATTGGGCTCCCAGAAAGCATAGGGAATATCTGGCATGTCAATACAACCATCTGGCCATGAAAAAAAAAAAAAAAGAATCATGAAGAAATATGTTATTGGGGCTGGCATAGGTAACCATGAGAAGGGTATTTAAAATGACTATCACAGCTTTGCTCAGCAAGAGTAACATATTGCAATGTCCTACACATGTTTGTGTTTCAGAACCAACTTCCTGAGTATCCCTTTAAACATAATGGTTTCATTCACAAAAGTTCTTTTCAATGTATTAAAAGTAAACCAGTAATTAAAGGATTAACAGACTAAGTTTCCCGCCTTTCTTGGTAACAGGATAATTTATGATCCAAAACAGTTTAATAGCTCTCTTACAGCTATGGCTGCAAGTGTAATTTGGGCATAATTAATTCTCTCTTACTAGGTTGGCAAATTATATGTTTAATTATCTCACGATATTCAAAAACAGAATAAATGAAACAAAACCAGGATGTAGGGAAACATGGTAGTGGGATATAAGGATAAAGAAATGATTAGAGAAGGAGTGTGGGAAGACATTACACCAACCCAGATGGCTAAGGCGGAGTTAGAAAGCCTAAGCAAGCTGTGGAGGATCACACTGCGAGAAACTGAGGCAGGGAGGAAGTACATTAGATAATGAAAGGTTAGTTTGTTTTGACCACTGAAAACAAACAAAAGCTAATTTAGAGAATCTGATCCAGTTCCATCAAGATTTCCTAAAGGCGTTGTGTTGTGCCTTAATCATATTTAGATGAATTTTTATATGTCTTCTCACAGGGTAAAATACATGTTGCTTAGCCTTTGCCTTATGGACAGCAGAAAGCTTTATTAACAGAATACATCCTCCCTGGAACATTCGTTATCTGCTCACCAAACTTCCTGTATGACATGGCCCAAACAATTAAATTAGGTCTCTGGCACATATAATTCCAAATACCTGTTTCCTTCATTGCTTACTTCTTTAGGACACATTGAGTTCTGGATTATTCTAATTTTGAGACCCCACATATAAAATGCTATTTGAAATGAAGATGACAAAAAAAAGCATACCAGATCACAAAGATTAATAGACTCATACGATCCAGCAATTTCTTCCTCAATGGTTCTAGTAATCATTTCTCTTCCTGAAGACCTCCCTGCTTTCTCGGCCTCATTCATGAGGCCTGGGGTCAGCTCCTAGCCATGTGAGATGTGAGATAATAGTGCTATGCATTTAAAAAAAAATTGATTGCACCGGTAAGAGGCCACATCTGTGATGAAGCTCTAACAAGCTGCATCCATGCAGTTAGAATGCCAGTGACAGACATCCAAAAGAGTTACAACATTACAGATCCAAAGCTAAAATTATCCTGGGAAAGAGAGTTTAGCCTTTTTAACAGTAATCAGTCTATTACCTTCCTCTGTGTGTGACAGTATTCTCATGACTCAGGCTCTGAAACTACTTAATGGAATTAACTCCAGACACATCTGTGGCAAGCCTAATTAGATTAAAGCCTACCTTTGCCCTCCGATGCCATCTCAACAGCTTTCTCTAACCTATCTTAAGATGTCAAAGATATACCCTTCACAGTGACTGTTCTTTCAATAACTCTTCTATGTATCTCATCTCATCTTATCAATTCATCTCAAAAATGGATTTCAGAGCCCCTCATAGACCCCCAGCCCCCTCGTCCTTATGTTTATGTCCTCTGGAGTCTGCCAGCTGACTCATTCACCCACACTACTGTGCGACACACTGCAGACTCAGAAAGGGCTGTGTCTTCCTGATGCATGAATCTAGATGATGGTCTCTGCCCCGGAGCCCACCCCTGGCCACCACCTCAACAGAGGAGGCTGCAGTCCAGGCCTCTGTTTCTCGTCAGCTTGAGAAAGCCAGAGACTTGATGTCCATTGTTCTCTGCCTCCTTCTCTGATTTCTTTTACCTAGAAATTCACTCTTCTTTCTAAAATGTAAACCGAAGGCTGGAAATGTTATCTCAAGGCCTGCTCCCGTAACAGGCTGGACACAGTTTGACGCTCCCAGCCAGAGAAATCAGCCCTGTCCTTCACCTGTGGCTGCTCTCTCTCGCTCTCCTTAGGAAGAAGAGTTCAGAGACCTTGTTGTGCTATGATTTTATAACTTGTAATTTTTGGTCCTAAGCAGTGCCTGGCTCCTCCATGCTCCTTGTCACACAAAGTGTCCCAGACTAAATCATATGGTGTAAGACTTCCCACAAGATCCCTAGAACTTAAAAAAAAAATGCATCTGCCTTGCTGTACCATCCCTCTCATTGCAGCTGTCTGTCTGTCTATCTCTGTCATCTATCTATCTACCTATCTCTGTCATCTATCATCTATTTCTCATCTGTCATCTATCACTCTATCATCTGTCTCTCTGTATCTGTCTCCCTTTCTCTCTATATATATATCTCTTTCTCTCTGTCTCTCTCTCTCTCTCTCTCTCTCTCTCACACACACACACACACACACACACACACACACTTTACACTATCCCTCTTGAAGAAGCCCCACTCTAGTTTTAATGGGAAACCTTTTCTGTCCTTTAAGGTCATATTACATAGTCTTTAATTGATTATACTGTCCCTTTCTAATGCTCTCTCCCCTAAAGTCCCTTTCTCTTAATAAATCTGATGCCTGAGGTGCAATCGTGTGTCAACTCGATACCTCAACAGATCCCTAGTTCCCTACCATCTAAGGGCTGCGAATGTAATCCTACAGCATCCAAGACAGGTAACAGAGGTTGCCCACTTTGCTGAAACTGGACTACTAGATGTAACCATCAACATGATTTGTGTCCTTCCGTTTCTATCAAAAGCTTGAGGAACTGTTGGCTCACTGGAACATGGGACCTGAGGAAACCTAAATCTGTGTTTTCATACCATAGTCATTCATTGGCAACCCTAGAAATAAACTGTCTTCTGTGTTCCTTTGAGAAGAGAACCGTTTCTTTCACTAATGTCTTCCCGCTAGTGGGTACAGGGGATCAAACTCTGGTCATCATGCTTGGCAGTGAGCACACTTATTTACTGAGCCATCTTGCTGGCACATCCTACAGGAATATTTTTATAGTAATGATGTAATCCATATTGCCAACAGAATCATGGCATGAAAATTATGCAACACAGGTGAAATAGTTTAAATAGCAGTAAAAGATTACTGACAAGAATCTTACTTCTATCAAGAAAGTTGGAGAAAAAAGTACAATAAGAAATTTAACTTGTGTGATTACTGCATTAAAGTGGCTTTAGGGAGTTACTGAGGTGGTTTTGGCGGATGACGGTGCTTGCTTTTGAGCCTGAAACCCTGAGTTCCATTCCCTAGGCCCACAAAGGAAAACAAGCTCCAGGAAGTTGTTCTCTGATCACCATATGTGCATAGTGTGCACGTGTGTGTGTGTGTGTGTGTGTGTGTGTGTGTGTGTGCGCGCGCGTGCATGTACACATGCACACATGAAATAAAATTTAAAGTGGGCTTGTGCCTATAAACATGTCCCGCCCACATTCTGGATAACCTTAAATGAGAATACCACAGCTCCTTCATAGTCCATACTCACTGGGCTCACAAGTGGGGACAGAAGGGAACCACTTGCTATTAGCTTCACAGTGGATTAAGCTGCTGCCTCTGAGGGCATAGCCCTTCTTGCATTTGACCTCAACAGAGTCTCTGTAAGTATAGTACTGTTGTAATCCAGGGAACAAATCCCCATTAGGAATCTCTGGCTGATGACAGATGGTTTCTAGAGAAGCATAGGAAAAGACAACTAGGTAGTCAAAAAGAGAAACGACAGTCGAGAGACAGTTTCTCCCTGGAACCCGGTATGAGTGAGTACACCTTGGGAACACAGATTCGGACATCCCCAAATAAACCATGCTCCACTGTGGAAGTGGTTACAGGAGATTTTATTACTGGCAGAACCAAAAAAAAAAATCATAAATCAATGTACTTACCAAATACACTGGTGGGGCCGTGGGTAAGTGGGTTACAGTGGGAAAACTCTGCTATAGATTTTAGATGATAACCAATGAGATTCTTAAGTTTTAAATCCATGATACCTAGTCGTTTTCTAAGAATACTAAGATTCTGGTAGTCACAAGGACGTTAGGTCAGACACGGGGTGGGCAATGGACTGCTCTCAAAGGCGTAAGTGAAGAGAGCCCAAGATAATATGGCTCTGGTCTATAACATTTTAACTCAGTTCATAATATAAGAGTATGCCAGGTATGTGCAAGGAAAACATTTAAAAATTATATATTCTCTAGACACCTTAAAAAAAAAACAAAAACAAACCCAGAGAGTCCATCCTGCTAATTAATGTGGTACAGTTGACTTCAATTAAAAATAAAACAAACAAACAAAAAAAACCCCAAATCTAGCAGTATCTAAATGTTGAAGGCTAAACGCCAAGTCTCCAAATCCTTCCAACATGGCAGTCTAGTTTCCAGAATGGTTTGGGTTGGAGAGCAACAACCTACAGTGACAGTATGGCGTCCATGGCGTGACAGAGTGTGGGGTGAGCACTAGCCCCTGTCCCAGTCCCTACCCAACCAGAAGCTGTCTTTCTTGCCCCATATCCCTCCTTACCCCTCTCCAGGCCCCGACCCCCCCCCCCGGGGCAGGGACAACTGCAGCCCCTCCCCCTCCAGGTGATGGTGATAGACGTCTGTCAGCCGCATTCTGTCTGACTTCAAACTGTCTCTTTGGCGCCTTCCCTTCATCTTCTCAGCGTGTGTTATTCAGAGACCTTTTTTTCTTTTCTATTGACATAACACAAGCCCACTTTTGACTTTGCACCCCATGGTAGCCACGACAACTAGAGCAGCACACACAGTGATAGTACCGACCGGGGTTATTGGCATACTCGAGGAGAGGTCACAAGACTCTCACTGGGGACTTCAGTTGCCATTCTTGGGTCCTCCTCCCCAGATGCATGTAATCTTGGAGATATAATAGAGTATGTAGGAAGTGAAAGATTAATTGAAAACAGTACTGCACGATCAGCTTCCATGAGGTCACCATCCAGAGCAGGGTGGAACTTTCTAACGGTATGGCTGTTATGGAGTCACCGGCTCTCTATAAATAACTTGCTCCTAGTGCTTCATAATCACCCTGTAAACACGACTAATACGCTCAAACTGGCTCCACCAAGTTGGATGTTGGTGAAGTCGCATTTTCTTCTGTCCCTTGGTACCCATCTGGGGTGAACAGACATTGGTTTTTATGTATCACTGCTACACACCATGCGTTCTCTCTTCTGACTCTTGCCAACACTGCCAAACACTTCCAGGCTCAGTTTCTGTCCGTTCTCCTTCTATAGTCTTCTGTTGCGTTTGATTGTGCAAGTTTTGCCACTGAGACATGTGGGTCACCTAAAGAAGGCTGGCGACCATGTAAATGTGAGCTTGTGTAAGAAGTTTCCTGGGATAACAATGCAGTAAGAGAGAGTTTGCAGAAAGCTTTGTCTATAAAATGCACAGGATTGTAATGTAAATTATTATCATATAGTCTATACCATTCTGAAGAATGTAGCGGAACGGCTGAACAAACGCAGTTTCATTATTGCAATTAACAGTTTGTAATAAACCGTTGTTACTACCCCCAGTACATGCATCTTATTCTTATAAGTAAACGAGAATAACTGAAAGCAGAGTTCATGCCCAGGACTTACTTTCACAGGCAGGAGGGTTTGGACTCCAAACGCCTACGGTTTTGTTCACCACTGTGCAGACAATGGAGGCGTTGCCAAGGAGCGTGAAGCTAGGGTCACAGGTGTAGGTGACTGAGGAGCCATACGTGTAAAGATCTTCATCTCTGCCGCTGTGCTTCCCATTGCTGATGTCTGGAGGGGACTCACACGTGACAACTTAGATGAATAAGGGGAGAGAAAGGAGTCATCAGGAAGGGTATTATCGTAAATCTAAAGTTCTGTCAATTGCAAACGGAGAGTTCGAGAGGCAACAGAGACATGAGCAGTTGGAATATAATGCAATGTAAATGTCATGTTATTATGTCAGAAAAAAAAAGTCTTTACTTACTTACACATTCTGGGAGAGAATCACTCCAGTCAACACCTTTACCTTGCACCTCACACCGACTAGTTGCTGAGCCAATCAGAAGGTATCTGAAAGACAGGTCAAAGGTTAACCTGGAATCTTAGTTTACTCTAATAGCAACTGGACCCAAGGTTTTGAGCAAATACAATTTGATTCGTCATTTCAAAAGAAAACGGTGGATACTCCCGTAACCACTAATTACCACTAGAGCCATCTCGAAGTTCAATTCCATCATATGGAGCATTTTCTCATGCTAAACTTTTTTCTTCTATTTATGACAATTTGTTAAGTTTTCTAAGTGTTGTATCATGCAACCAATGAGAACTCATACAAGTTTTGAAGCTATAATTGTTTCTGAACTGATTAGAACTTATTAGAAACTTAAAACTGAAGCAACTCTTACTCTCAAAATAATTATTTGGAATTTCCCCCACACATTAGAACACACTTTGTCCTCAAAGCATAATTTGATTTGCATGTATACATGGTCTTGTTATCTTCAGTTTCATTACACTGCAGTGAAGGGCAGAAGTAAAATGACCAATAACACACCCTTGCTTGCATCAGAAATTCAAAACTTGCCATATCTATTTTGTGACTTCTCTTTTGTTCTTCCTTTCTTCCTTCCTTCTTTCTTTCCTTCATTCCTTCCTGCCTTCCTGTCTTTTTTTTTTTTAATTTATTGTTGTGATGAAAATGAAATTCAGGAAATAACACACCCAAATACAGTGATCTGTCAGGGAGCCACATGACGATCCATTTCTGGTGAAAGCATGAGGATAATTGTAGCTAATAAAAAAAAAATCTTTTTCCCACCATGACTGCAAGACCCCAAAGTTCAGCCAACCTACCCACCAACTTTCACAAACACTCTTCTTCGAATGAATCCAGAAGCTCTTCTCACACCCACTGTGATGGGCTCCTGAAGTCTCCACATTCCATGAATTTTAGAATCTCAAGTATCGCAACCATGCTATGAATAACAAAGTGTTACTTCCCAGAGTGGTAACAAAGGTCCATGAAGAAAAAATTTCTGGTCAAGAAAGCCTGGGTAGAGTCCAATCACAGGACAGACCAACCATCTAGTCAATGGGCCGCCTCTAGGAAGGCAGGCTCATCTTAGGGCATGATAAAGACTTGGGCAGAATAATTAGTCCTTTAGTGAGATACTGCTTTGACTTCCCACAATTCCCAGCCCTTGCAAAGCCACTTACAGAGCACAGCCATGCTGATTTGTAAGCCTGCCCACTTATCTGAATTACTCAGGAAAGGGTAGCTTTCCTATCCTCCCAATCCATGCCTTCATTAACATTTTGGGATTCCATGGTATTTTGGATTTCCTTACTATTTATCTAAAGCTTCTCTACTCAACAAGTGGCTATTTGTCTGTGACGTGTCTGACCTCTACACACACGTAAACAGCATCTCCTCCACCCTTCTCCTCTGGGATTTGCCTTGGCTCCCCTGTGTGTTTTCCCCTGGAACTCTAATAGAACTGTCCTTTTACATCCAGTTGAATCCATTCTTAAACTCTTCTATTAATGAGATTAAGATCCCCAAGAGGGAGCCCAAATTTCCCCTGTATCATCTGCCAACTACAAAGGGACTCCACACAATTCCAGTGATTGTACTAGTGGAGTGTGTGTGTGTGTATGTGAGGGGGCGTGTATGTGAAGAAGTGTGTATGTGTGTGTGTGTGTGTGTGTGTGTGTGTGTGTGTGTGTGTGAGGGTGTCTGCATGAAGAAACGTCCAACATCACTAGCAATTAGAGAAATGAAAATTAAAACTACATTGGGATTTCATCTCATCCCAGTCAGAAGGGGTATCATCAATCAATCAATCAATCCAATGTGGATGAAGATGCAAAGAATAAAATAGCTTAATACATTAATGGGAATGTGAGCTGCTCCAGTCACCATGACAACCACTGTGGACGTTCCTCAAGCTATCACACGACCCAGCTTTATCACTACTGAGTATTTACCCAACAGCCTCTGAGTCAACCTATCATAGCGATACTTTCACATCAATATTTAGTGCATAATACAACTAAGTTATAGAACCTGCATAGGTATCTAAAGCTGCAGAGTGAATAAATAAAAAATGCTTAGTAGAAAAAAATCTTAACAATAAAGCTAAGATATTATTTTAAAAGGTTTTATGTTATTGGAATAAACGTTGGCTCTTAGAAAACATTTTACTCATTTATTTTTTATTTACTCCAGAGGTCATGTATGTATATCTGGAGATAAGATGACAACTTGCAGGAGTAAGTTCTGCCCTTCTAACATATTGGTCCTGCAGACATATTAGAAAAAGGTAGAGACACAACTATACATGAAAATATCATAATGAAATCCATTACTTTCGAGAAGGGCAACTCCATAACCGCAAATTCCACCAAAAATTATCATCATAGAGTTAGACATAAAATTTAAACCTATAGAATGTTTAGGAAAAACCTAGAAACACATATTGAGAGCCACAAGTGCACCTTCGGACCCAGAAGATGGCGGGCCAGAGCTGTTTCCAGCTTCCTGAATTACATGGTACATTTTTGTCTGCGTGGTGCTGGAAGTACCCCTGGTTTCCTGTGTAAGGTCCTCAGTATGGCTCCAGAGACCGGCAGCTGATGCCCCAGGGCATCCTGGAGAAGGTAGGACTGAGGGAAGAATTCATAATTGACACCAAAACAGTGTTCCGTGGAAAAAACACTGGCGAACTAACTGGGCCCCACCAAAATTCAAATTATTTTCTTTGTGAAAGATCTGGTGAAGAGGATGAAAAAAAAAGAAAAGAAATTGCATTCTGGAAGGAAACTTCACATTTTACGTATTCAGCGAAGGACTGGAATCAAGAGTATTCAAAGAATTCTAAGGATAAAGGGGGGATAAAATCAACTAATCCCACGGGTTGGAAGTTTGTCTGAGAAACAGATATTTGTGTGCATTTTAAATATTTTAACAGTGTATACAGAGTCACCTGACAGACTTTATTGAAATGTCAGTGTGTCTGTTACGTAGACACAGTGGTTCTCAACCTTCCTGAAGCTGCAGCCTTTAGGACAGGTCCTCATGTTGTGGCAACCCCTAACCACAAAATTATTTTCTTTGCTATTTCATAACTATAATTTTGCAACTGTTATGGAACAGTGTAAATATCTGTGCTTTCTGGTGGCCTTTGACAACCCTTGTGAAAGGGTCATTCAGTCCCCAAAAGGGTCCCAAACCATGGGCTGAGAACCACTGGTGTAAAATGACCATCCCATTCTTAGAGCTATAACCTTTAGAATTATCTATACACATGTCATACCATACCTATAGAATAGTGAATTTGAGAATAATATGTAATGAGATTAGATATGCACAGATGTCTGTTTTCAGGGACCCTTGAATAAATTGTGATAAGATCTGATACAAACTAAAAAGCTTCATCTGCTGTAGTATGGTTATGGAATATACCCCAAAGGCTCAGGTGTTGAGACTGTGGTCCAAAGCTGGCAGATCTACTAGAAGAGATGGGCCGGGTCCTTAAGGATATGTTAAAACATAGCCTTTTCTCGTTCCTTTTGCTTCCAAGATGGCGAGACACACAGCACAGGGATAATGGCGCTTAGAGACTACAAACGGAAGCCTCTAAAGTCGTGGCCAAAATAGATCTTTCCTCCTTTCAAGTTGTTAACCACAGATATTCTGTCACAGCAATGGGAAACTAATGCAGTACACATAAATAAACACACAGTACACACGTGGAATGAGAAAACAGCAGGAACAGGGGGATCAAGAATCTTGGGTATGTATTTATCTTCATGATGCATTCTATGACTTAACATTCTTGTGGTTCTGGGGGCTCAAAGGTTCGAGGCTGGGGTGCCTCTGGTTGAGTTCTGGGGGCTTCCCAGGTTGCAGAAGGACGCAGAGAAAACAAGTTCTCACATACATCTTCTTTTGGGGGCAAGGGGTATACACCCAAAAGGTACCTCGCAAATGAAGATATGAACTTGGGTAACCCAAGCCACATTTGGCATAAGGCAATGAAGATTTGGGGGGGGGGATCAAACTTCAAAGCAGCATGTAAAGTCAAGTAACCGTGTATAAAAGGGGGTTAGATACTGCTCAAAGTGTCCTCGATTGTGCTTATATCATAAAGTGCCACAAAGACAATCATAAACTAGCCGATGCCGTTTCCTGTCAGAAGACAGAGAAGAATGGATAAACGGGACTGTGTAGAAGTGAGAACTTTCCACATACATACACTCACAGAGTTTTACTCTTAAAACACGGATGTGTCGGCCCTTATAGAAGTAGTTAAAATTCTCACTTACCCCTTTGCGCAGCTGAATTCTATGCTTGAACCTAAGAAGAGATCCGTTGTAATTTCTACTTTCCCATTGACCAACTCGCCCGGGTTTCTGCATCGTTTCTCTGGGGAAAAATTAAGGCGATTTGAAACACTCACAAGGTACAAATCAGAGAAAGGAGAGTACTTAGTTTTGGAAGTCAGTGTTGAACTTCTGCCACAGAACTAGGGAGAGGATGATGAGATGCCTGACTATAGCCCTGCCAGGCATACAGCCGAAACGTTTTCTATCTTACGGTAGAGATACCTGCACAGCCACACTCATCGACGCTCAGTTCCCAGCAGCAAGGCAATGAATCAACCTAGATGTCCCCCAACTGCCAGAGGGTAATGAAAGTGTGGTCTGTATACACCAAGGAATATTACTCAGCCGCAGAGAAAAATGAAGTCACCAAACTTGCCGTTAAATGGACGGGCCTGGGGAAAATTATTCTGAGTGAAGTCGCCCAGGCCTCCCCCCAACAGACAATGCATGTCTTCTCTCAGATGTGTATGCTAGCTTCAAATCTTCTATGTGTGTTTAGTCTAAGGACTTGTGGAAGCCGGGAAACTAGGGACAAGCCCCTGGGGGGGATGCATTTTAGGGAGGATGATGGTAGAATGCAGGTGATAAAGGAAAGGGGGAGAAATAGGGAAGGGAGGAAGGTTCAAGTAGCTAGTGAGTGACAGGAGTGGGGGGGGGGAAGGGGGAGGGCTAACCAAACTGAAGTGTGTTATATGGAAAACTATGATCTTGCAACCAGAGTTAAAAATAAACAAATAAATAAAGGGGAATAGTAAAAGCATGTGGTAGGAAAGTTGGGAGCTAAAGGGTTAAGTGGGAATGGTGACCAGTGGCTGGGGAGGGGGGGGAGGAGAGGTAAGGAAGGGATTAACCATAACTAAGGATGTGTGGAGAAGCCTTGCAAAACCCCAGTATTTTATAAGTGAACATGGTTTTAAATGGAATTACCCCCAAATGAGTAGAGAATGCTGCTCCCAGAACACAGGAGCTACTAAGTGAACATCTCAATGCCAGGCTCAATGAGCCTTCCTATAAATTATTAGTCAGAAAATCTCCAGAGGCAGCCAAAACAATATGGGCTCTTGGTTGCCCACGATAACCATAGCAGATAAAGCCCTATTGTTGAAGATACCACACACATTGGCTACAATCAATCTCACAAACAAACAAACAAACAGGAAACTTCCTCCCTGCTGACTAGCTTTCATGATGCTAGAATGTGCTATACAGGTTACTGGGAGAGAAAAAAAACACTGATGGTCTTCCCCAGCACTGGGCCCTGCTTGTTACATTATTGGCCTTGCAGGAGGCAAGGTTTGCCCACTGCTACATTAATAGCATGACTGTTATGGGGTAACCTGGATAGAGTGCATCTGAGGCTGCTCCCTAGAAGAACATTCATTCCTGGTGCTGTAAACTTAGTCAAAAGTCCATGGATGCAGGAGCGGGGGGGGGGGGGGGGATTTATAGGCCCTAGGGTAGAATCTACTCTTATTCTTTGGCGAAATGGTCATGTTGTCAAATGGCTTCCTAAATATTTATGTTTATACCCATAAACCTGGGTTACCTCAACCTTGAGCATAGAAGCTTCTGGTTGCAGAGGGTAGTGGTTAGTAGAGACTCATAACTGTTCAAAGTGCTGTTAGTGCTTGTGAGTGCTCGGTGACACATGGGTCATTTATACCAACCCACAACCCCACCCCTTAAGGCTTAGACATGTTAGGAAAGAGCAGGTAAAAAGCATGTGGTGTTGAGGGACAGGGAAGAGAGCTGAGAAGTGCCCTCTACTGGACGTGACAGTTGTCGAACACATGAACTCAGCGGCTTTGACTACCTGCACAAGATTAAGCCAATTAAAAAAATTCCAGTATGGAGGTGGGGAGCTCTCTATGCTCCACCCTGGCTGAGGCCGTTGATGGCTACTGAGGAAGGGGAAATCATTTTCCTTTGGGTGGCACCCATTGGTAAGTTCTCATCCACCAGTCCACGGCTCACACACGTACACATACAGATACTTGGACTCCATGGGTTATACAAAAGGAAAGATAGCATGGAGCTGAAAGCTGTGGGAGGGGTAAGGGCGCTCTACAGAGGTGGATGGTACCAAGAAAAAGATCCAGTGTTTCCATGCACAAAATTTAAAGAATAAAATACAGGTAAATGGCCGCTCAAAGAATCTCAGCTCCTGCTTCCAGGTAGAGCTGGTAGTATATTCCAATGCTGATTTCTTTTCCTGATTCGTTGAATTGTTATTTTGAGGAAAAATAAATACACTGCCAATTTTTTATGAAACACTTTAAAGAGAGAAACTCAATTTCGTTTGACTAAGTAAGGCACCAATGTAATGTGAAATACAACACATCTGGGAGCTTATACCTAAATACATACATAAAATGTTTACCTTTGTTCACAGACAGAAGAAAAGAGTCGATGGATTTTTAAATCCTTAGTATCTTAAAAATAGGATATGGTACACTCCCAACGTCCCTTTTCCAAATAGCACAGATAATGGTACTTTAAAAAAAAAATATTTGTTTCAATCATTTCAGTTTGTGTGTGTATACATGCATGTGAGCATGCACGTTAACATGTGTGTGCATGGTGCACTCAACAATGCGTGTGGAGGCTAAGAGAAGGCATCCGAGCTCTGGGATCTAGAGTTACAGGCATTCAGTGGACACCAGGCTTGTTCCAAGGGTGCTAGAATCCAAGCTTTCACCAGCCACGCCGTCTCTCCAGCCCCAGGTAATATTAACTGTTAGTACGATGTTGTTTGAATGTTCTCTTTAGGCTGGAGGGATTTATTACATTTCTATGAGTGAAGTGCAGGTAAGAGCATAGGTTAATACTCACTGGCACAAAAGATACTATAGACCCACGAGCCATTTTCATCACAAGTAAGATGGCTTGAATTGACTTTCTTGAAGCCACGATGGCAGGTGTACTTCAGAACGGTTCCGGTTGAGAAAGTTGTCTCATACAACTGGTTGATTGGAGAAGCAAACTGTAGACTGGGCGGAGGTCCGCAATCACCTGGACACAAAAGACAAGGGACACCACAAGCTGTACCTTGAGAGGCAGAACCTCAGTGTTTGAGTAGTGATGCTCACAAAGAAAGGACTGTGTTTCTTTTCCAAAATGATTCTCACAACTCCAAATCTCAACGATTACTGACATGTGCTTTCTGACATCAGTGATGAAGGCATAGAAATTTTGCCTACTCTTTCCTACTCGGTCAAGTAGGTCAACTTCGTCGTTTTCTCCTGGCTTACACCTGCCTACTCAAAATATAGCCATCTATGTCGTAGCAAATAATATTTCTTCCTGCCTTTGTAAGAACATATTTCACTATGTGAGATCAGCTGTCTCAGAAAACAGGGATGGGAGGAAGAGTTTATTTACGTTCTCTTGGAGCTTTTGGAATTTGTATGAATTGTCTGCTTTAAAAATTCTTTTCTAAATCATCACAATGTAGAAACTACATTAAACTCTTTGGAGAAAAATATTTTAATATATAAATGTATTTATTATTTATTATGTGTACAGTGTTCTGTCTACATGTAAGCCTGCATGCCAGAAGAGGGCACCAGATCTCATTACAGATGGTTGTGAGCCCACCATGTGGTTACTGGGAATTGAACTCAAGACCTCTGGAAGAGCAGCCAGTGTTCTTAACCTCTGAGCCATCCTCCAGCCCTGAGAGGAAAAAAAAAAATCTTAATCCTACCCCCAAGTAAGAATTATTAAATAAAATACTAAATAACTTTCGCCTGACCCAGTGGAATTATCTGTATTTATTTTATGTAAATAATCACTCGAACAATGAAATATTTTATGGCCAGACTGACAGGTAACATATTTATTGCTGGTCATAGTTGCTTTGAAGCTAGATTATTTGTAGACCTAAACAAAGTACCTATGAAACCATCTTTAGTCAGGACATCTACTATGACCCTACAATGTAAAAAATGGACACCCACTGGACTTTGCTTGAAGCAGGTGTGTGATGGACTCATCACACCACACAGGTGTGGTGGCACCTGCCTCATCTCCCCACCCACCCCACCCCATTACTTACCAAGAACAGGAGCCATCAGAATGGTGGCCAAGGTCATTTGGAACAGAGTTGAAGGGGAGATTTTCCACAGCTCGAGGAAGGACCAGGCTGTCATTATCCCCTTTCTGTGGAGGGCAGAGGGCGGAGCTCTTAGACAGAACATGATCTGATGCCTTTCCAATATGTTTCTACCAGGAAAACTCAAAATAACAACATAGGAACTACCTCCAAAGGGATTATAACTGAGTGTGTAAGGAAACACACTAAATACAACTATTTACAAAACGCTTCTATTGACATAATATGTCCCAGGAACTTACTGAGAAGACCAGTTAATTCTAAATGGAGAGTGAAGAGTCAGGCTTCCAGGACTATGTGTAAGCATTGCTCTCAAAGCCAAAGCAGTAGGCATGGAACGCTTTATATTAAAAAATGAAAACCAGTGGAGGTCTGGCAGCAACAGTGAGAAATGAGAGTCGTCTCTAGGACACTGGAGTCGTCGCTTTAGTTAGAAGGCAGGCATTTTAACAGGAAGGTGTGGGTAAAGACAGAGAGAAACAGAGTAGGTTTCACTGGGTTATCAGTACTAAGATTAGCAGTTTGGCCTCAGTGAATGGACAAACCTTTCTGTTGCTTTTGAGTGACGTAATAACTGCCCTTTCCTGGGGTCACGATGGCATGTGTTTAAAAGGTAGTCAGAGAGAAGAAGTGACAGGGAGGCTTGTTTAAAACATATGTGCACTGAGCATCAACACACCCAGTTTAATAAGACAGGCACTACTTAATATTTAGGCAAGGACAGGCCACACACAATGTTAGTGGGTCTTTTGATACTATTCTCACTAATAAATATCTACACAATGGACTGTGAAGAAACGTCAAAGAGCTAAATGACATTGTAGATGACAGAAATTTAATAGGCATCTGCAAAATATTCCATTGCCAGCCACAGGACATACATTATTCTCAGCAGGCCATAAAATATTCTCTAACATAGAACATGCCTTAGGTCAGAAAACAAGGCTAACCACATGTGAGAAAAATTAAATGGCTTCTTATATACCATATTATCATAGTGAGTGAAAAAACAAACAAACAAAAAACCTCAAGCTTGACAGCATGAGAAATACAGAAAATAAATGGACATGGAAATCGACCAATATAATATCAACTGGTCAATGGGTCATTGAAGATCAGGGTGGAAATCACAAATTCCTAGAATCAAATTAAAATGAGAACACAATGTACCAAAATAACAAAAAGGAAATGTATAAGTAAAATTGCCTACATAAAAACCAGAGATTATAAATAAATAACTCGATATGCCCACACATATTAGAAAAACAGAACACACCAAACCTAAAATTAATAAATGAAAAAATAATAAAGATAAGGGCAGAAGTTAAGAAAATAGAAGCAAACAAAAAAAAAAAACACAGACAAAGAATCCGTGACATGGAGATAGCCAGCTGGCTGGGGGTGGGGTCGGGGGTGAAGGGATGAGACTCAGAGACACAAAGAGGGAGAAGGAAAGAACCCACATTAATAAAATTAGAGATGGGAAAGGAAACGCTGCCAATGGAATTCGGAGGTTAATTGGACCGCTGTGGAAACGTTAAAATACTGAAGAAGACACTGTAATATGCAGCGATCTCACCTCTCATTGGTCAGAATCAAAGCTGTGAAAATGGTAGGCTAGCAACAAATTTGAAAATCTACAAAGTACAGGAACGTTTCTAGGCACATCGGACCTACTCCATCAAGAGACTATAGATAATATAGGCAGACCTTTAACAATCAGAGAGAGAAACTGCAGCAACTTGCCTTTGACAAGTTCAAGGGGCCTTCATGATAAAAGCCCCCCCAAAAAAACTGAATACAAAAGCAATGAATCCCACCATAGTAAAGGCTATATACAGCAAGCATATAGCCACGTTTCACTGAGTAGGGAAAAACTGAGAACATTCCCTGTAACCCTGGACAAGACCAGGGCGTCAGATTTCTCCACTCACATGCATAAGAGCCCTCGAAGAAATAAGCAAAAAGGATACATTGCCAAAGCAATCGGTTAAAAAAAAAAAGAAATTCAAGTAGTAAAAGGTGTTATCTTATCCCTATCTGTAGATGAAATGAGCCTATTAATTTACAGGCTTTAGTACTCCACCCAAAAATTCTTACAGCTGATGAGCAGTCTGGAAATGTAATAGGATACAGGGACAGCATACAGCACTTTCCTAAATGCCAAAGGAAAGGGAGAAAATCAGGAAAACAATCCATTCACAGCAGCTTCGAAAATACTTAGGAATAAATGTAACCAGAAAGCTGTACAATGAAAACTTTAAAGCAGTAGGGGGAAAAATGGAATAAAATATTAGAAGACTGAAAGGCTTTCTATACTCAGCAGAGTAGGAATCCCCATCAACATTCAAAGACTTTCTTCACAGAACGATGGAGGAAACAATAAAATAAAACAGAATTGACATGGGAATGCAAAAGGCCCCAGGTAGTAAATTCGCAAAAGGAGCAAGGCAAGATGCATCACAATATCTGATTTCAAACTATACGAGAGAGTCACAGTAACAACAAAAGCACAATGCTGGCACAAAAGCCGGCCGTGCAAACTAGGGGAGCAGAACCAAAGACGCAGAGTCAGTACTCCATACACACACTCAGCCGATCGTCAGCAGAGGAACCAAACACATTCGCTGAAGAAGCAACCTCCTCAGCAAGCAGTGCTAGGAAACCCAGAGACACCCACTCGGTCAGAAGAAGAATGGAACTAGGCCCCCCTCTCTCGTGCTACGTAAAAATCGATTCAAAACGGAGTAAAGGTTTTCTTTTTAATATAGGAGACTGACTGACACTGTCAGAGGAAAGGCAAGGCAAAATGCCTCAAGATACGGACAGAGACAAGGACAGCCTGCAAAGGGCTCCAGGGGCACCGGGAAGGCATTGCAGGGACTGAGCAAAGGGGACCGCAGGGAACTGAAAACAAAGGAAAGCCATCTCTACACAGCGACGGCCACAGCCAGCAGAACTGAAGGGACAGCCGCAGAGCAGCAAGAGCCTGTCAGCCGTGCATGTAGTAGAATGGGACCCAGATTTTACAAAGAACTAAAGAACTCAGATACCAACCCCCATCAAGAAATAGGCTGATGAATAGACAACTGTCGAAAGATGAATCACAAGTAATAGATGGTTACATGAAAACTTGCCCACCACCCTTAGCCATCAGGGAAATGCAATTTCAAACTACACGAAGATGCCATCCTGTGCTGGTGGAAAGGCCGTCATTAATAGCAGGGCTGGAGAGGTGGTTCGGGGGTTAAGAGCACTGGCTAGCTACTCTTTCGGAGGTCCTGAGTTCAATTCCCAGCAACCACATGGTGGCTCATAACCATCAGTAAATCTGTAATGATAATGAGATCGGGTGCCCTCTTCTGGCATGCAGGCATACGCAATAAATAAATAATCATTTAAAACAATTAAGAAAACGAATAACAATAAATGATGAGGAGGATATGAGCGAAGGAAACCCTTAGAGACTGCTGGTGGCAATAGAAATCAACTCAGCTGCTATTGACATAAATATAGAGATTTCTAAAGAAAGCTAAAACTAGAGTTGTCATTTCCCTGGTTGAGAAAATATATTAAATGTGCATAACGGAGATGTATTAATCCCCAAAGAAGAATGAAACTATGTCCTTTCCAAGAAAACGGATGGAGCAATGGCAAACCATTACATTAAGGCAAATACCATCCGCTTCCTCTCATATTATATGCTAACTTTTAGACACAATTATATAGATACTAGGAAAGTAAGAGGGAGAATGTTTGGGAAACGCTGGGGGAGTAGTGGGAGGAAGCAAGTGCTCGATGCAGGGGTTGAAAATGTCATGGTTTACGCTGCACTTCGGTGAGTATGTCTATTGGAAGCTCCTCACTGTGTTCAGCAAATGTCCGTTGGGTCAGTATCTCAGCCGGGCGTCTTTAGAGAAGCTTCCTCTTGCCGTCTATGGGACCTGATACAGGGACCCACAGCTGGACAATGTGCAGAGTGAGAGACCTTGAAACAGTCCTCCTCAGTGAGAGTCTTCTCAGGACACTATGCAGAAGAGGAGGGTGATGGTAGAGACGAGGGGCATGGAGGTCGCCAAGGAAACTGTCTTGTAGGCACAGCAGGACTGATGCACAAATGGACTAACTCACAGAGATTACAGTAGCATGCACAGGGCCTGCACAAGGTCAAGCCAGACAGGGGCAGGGACCCAGAGCTGAGAGGGGGCGTAGGTGCCACCTTCCACCTCTAACCAGAAGCCACCTCCAATTGCCAAGCACTTGCAAAGGAAAAATTAGTTTTCTCCAATGAAGTCTCCAAGCCCCCAAGTCCAGGAGAAGATGGTAACAAAGGGACTAATGTTGTTTTTGTAGATTTTTTTTTTTTTTTTTTTTTTTTTTTGGTCACATACTGCTTTGTTTGAGCAAACCTTACTGGTCTTTTGCTTGTGTATCATGGTTTTTGAGTGTTAAGGGTTTTGGTGAATGTGTGTGTGTTTCTTTTATTTTTTTTAATGCAGATTTGTTTATTTGCCTGTTTTCTAAAGAGAAAGAGAGAGAGAGAGAGAGAGAGAGAGAGAGAGAACATGAAATTGGATGAGAGGAGAAGTGGGGTAATCTGGGAAGAGATGGAGGGGGAATTGTGATCAAAATACATGAAAAAAAAATTTTTTAACAAAAAAAAAAAAAAAAAACAGAAGAGCTGGCAATGTGCTCAGAAGTTAGAAGTGCTACCTAGCCCGATGATGACTTGGGTTTGATTTTTCTGAACTAGAGAGTGGACTGACAGAACTTACTAGCACAAGCTTTCCTCTGACGTCTATATACGCACACCGAGACACATGCCACCCCACCCCCCCACACCCCACACCCTGCAACCCCTGACTCACACACAAAACCAGTAACTCCATATGCATTTCACCATTCTCACACTAGGGAAGATAAAGTAGGAGAATCATGGTCTGAGGCTGCCTGGCTACCTGCTAAGAGCTTTCTGTCGTAAAGGTAGGCACAGCTGGATGAAACTGAGGGCTCCGATATGAGCAGATATCAAATGGA